TCAGCAGGATATCGGGGTGGGAGAGCTTGTCTGAGCTGTGTAGCGAACATTGACGGCAGAGATCCGTTTAAACGCAAACAGGCTCAAGGTCTTGAAACATTTATTAGAAAGGAATTAATTTACAGCAGCTGCTCTATAGACGGCGCCGCGCTAATGAAAACACAAGAGCCCCGCCACCTTTTGACCAAATTCACTCGCTACTTTCTGTTGTTTGACATACGCATTTTTGATTTCTGTACACTTCACTATTATAATGCATTGTTTGCATTTGATATTGGTCGCAATTTCTCAAGGATGAGTCAACGTGAAATAGAAACGGACCCTGTTTACTTTCTTATGTGTGTTTTTAGTGTGATTGTTGATTCATCAGTGCACGTTATTTCAAAGATTAAATGACGTGTTTGTCTTTGTGTCTTTAATTAAATGTGTAATTACTTGCTCCACCTCTGAAACCACTCACCAGACCCTTTGATTTTGTTTTTAATCTACTTGATTCCTAGTGGAGCCTGTAGTCCATACTTCAGATTAGGGAACACTATTTACTATTAACTAGTTGCTTATTAGCATGTTTATTACAAGCATATTGGCTGTTTATTAGTACTTATAAAGCACATATTAATGCCTTATTCAGCATGACCATATTTTAGATCTCTTAATCCGACCCCATACTTAAACTTAACACATATCTAACTATTAATAAGCAGCAAATGATTATTGAGGGAAAACTCTTATTTAGTGAATATGTTCCCTAATCTAAAGTGTTACTCATTTTTCTCATTGAATATCCAGTAACACTTGCAAGTACATCATATTTTGGAAGCTAAATGCGTTGCAAATGTTTCATGTAAACTTAAATTATTCATGAGCATTTAAAGGGCGATTTCACCCCAAAATGAAAATTGTCATCGGTTACTCGCCTTCGTGTTGTTCCAAACACATAAGACTTCTCTTCATCTTCAAAACAAAAAGAACACATTTTTGATGAAACCTGAGTTTTCTGTCTATTAATTCAAAACTTTGACACTTCAAAAACTCATTAAGAGATCATAAATGATAGCTTTATAAAATGAACCGATTTATTAATATTTATATTATATGTTTATTTATATAAACATTCATCAACACACAAACATCAAATGAACACATCAGATATGGTAATCAGAAGCTCAAATGTAATTGCTTGACTTGCAAGGTCAAACCTCATTGGTTCTTGCAGAAGCTCAAAGTGCTTGTGTGACACGCAAAAACAAGCCTTATTGGTTTAAGCTTCCATTTGCCATATTTGATGTGCTCTGTGTGGTTATATGTGAATAAAGTCTAAATGAAATCTCTTCATCATATAAAGTGATCATGTCTCTTTGGAAGACTTTGATCAAACCGCTCTATTCATATGGATTACTCTTACGATCTCTTAATTAACTTTTTCAGCTGTCAAAGTTTTGGTGTAATGAACTGATGTCGCTCTCGTTTCATTAAAACATCTTCATTTGCATTTCTAAGATGAACGGAAGTCTCACAAGTTAATACGAGGCATTTTTTGGGTGAACTGTCCCTTTAAGGCTCTGAATTTACATACTGCCCTGCCATTGGTTGGTCAAACAGCCCCAAACTAACAGCACAATGTTATGATAGTGCCACAGTATTTTCACTCGTCACAGTTTCTATGATGAATTTGGCCAGACACTAATGCTTGCATGCAAATGTACATTTTTTGATATATGTTCACAAAGCCCAGTTTAATATGCAAGCAGTGAGCTGTTCAAATGTTGGTTTCCTCTAAAAGACTAAACTCTGTGGCTCTTTCGAAACATCTCTGTGTTTGTGGAAGCAGTCTGACCTTGTGCTCTCCTGGAGAGTGTCTCTGCCTATAGGCTACATGTTCTTTGTACTATATACACATTATATATTCTCATTGTCTTTTGCTTTGTTCACAGCTCCTGGAGGGCAGTTTCACCTCGCAGGTCAGCCATGAAGTCGATGGTCTTATCTTCCAGCCTATAGGGGTGAGTCTGACACAAATACAAACCGCTAGGAGAGAAATGCACTTTGACTGCAAATTCAGGGTTTGGTTTAGGCTCATCATTCAGACTCCCTCATAAGCATTTCAGTTTATGGCTGTAATAATCCATGGCTAATGCGGTATTATACGATGTGTATGCACACGAATGCTATCAAGCTGAAAACAAAACTGTTATTGAGTCTTTATGAGACTACTAGCTGCTCAAATCTAGACAAAATGCTCAGCCAACAACAGACTTTTTGTTTTGTGTGAAGTAAACGTGAATTATGAATTACACACTTCTATTATTTTGAGAAAAATCATGTTAAATTGTTGAGTATCAAATATGATCATCAAGCTTTTGAGGAAGGATTTTTGTTCATCTCTAAATCATCATTGTGTTGCATTGCATTATTTGTTTCGCCGCCACAAAAAAATGACAGAGCTTTGATCATCAAACTAAGCATTTAAAATATCATCTTACTAAGATATAATACTGAGAGATTCAGATTAAGAACTGATAATTATATGCATTTTATGTAAGTAGTCTGTTATACTATTATAAGCATTTTTACATTACATATTTACATCATAGAAATATCAACAACACCAAATTTCAATGCACCAAATGCACCAAAAATGCACCAAATTTCATATTTTTCCCATAATAAAAATGATTCTAGGTCATGTATGCATGCTAGTTCATTCAGATCTGAATAAGCAGTGATTTGCTATTATTATTTTATTTTAAATTTTTTTTACAAAGTCTTAAATAAGTTCAACAAAAAGTAGTTTAAAACAGTCACTGAATGTTGAGGCTGATACGTTTATTTGCAAGAATCCTTCTACAAATTACGGCCTAAAAATATGCACTGGAAAACAAGGGTTTTTATTTAGTTATTTATTTACTTATTTATTGTAAAACTAATTCAAAAGTGATGGAGATATATTAGAAGTAGAGGTCGACCGATGTATCGGTTTTGCCGATTAATCGGCACCGATAGTTGATTGCTGGAACTATCGGTTATCGACAAAAATCCATGCCGATAGTTTTCCGGGTTGCGTCCATTGCTGGAGCAGCTGAGAAGGGTCTGCTGTCATTACACAGTGCGAGAGCAGCCTCTAGTGGGTGAAATCACTGACAGCACGTGATACTGCACGCTGCACGCTGAACAGAGCGGGAAACTTCAGACGCGGATTTAAATGCAGCCGACAGAAAATCCTGCCGCGCCACAGAGCGCCATTCACATAGTTTTCCTTTAAATTACATTATATTATAGAAGCAGTTAAAGTGTGAGAGTATACATACAATATCCATATGTATATAATTTTAATGCTATAGCCTTTGTGTATATATTTAAAGATGTGCATCTTTAAGCATGACAGTTGAAATGAAATGGTAACACTTTAAAATAAGAGTCCATTTGTAGCATTAAGATTAATGAAAGCTGTGTAAGTATTGTTCCTTGTTAGAGTGTGTTAATTTCAACATTTACTATTACTATTATTTTATTTTTTTTTACTACTATTACTAGTATGGCTCAGTACTGTTTTTGTTAATAAAGCACTATTTTAGTTTTTGTTCAGTATCAATTTTAAAACTATCAGTTAATTAATCGGTATCGGCCAGTGTGGTCCAACCTAGCTATCGGTATCGGCAAAATCCACTATCGGTCGATCTCTAATTAGAAGCTGTATTTTCAAACTTTGAAACGCTGCTAATTCAAGACTTACAAGATTTACATTCAGAGACCAAACTGATCTTTAATGCCTGACATTTTCGTTACTTGGTCTTAAAGAGTCTTAAAACCTGCAGAAACCCTGATAAAATGGACTGTGCAGCCATTAAGACAATTCAATTCCCATAGCCAAACCCCCCAACGTTTGATTTCTCTGAAAGCCCAGAATGCACCAGGCAAGTGGCTGTAAAATGTGGTATATATGGCCACAGACAAATTTACAAAAAAACAAATATCCTCTATAGAGGACAAAAGCAGGTCCCAGGAGGATAAACACACGTGAGGTTCTCTGCAGGTGTGCCGGATTGAAAACACAAGCTGGGCGTCAACGTGACTGATTAGAAACAAAACTGAAGAGAGAGGCATCTAAAATTGCATCATTAAAGCTGCAGAAATCATAAAAACACCCATCAGGTTGCTTGATTTTTCGAATATTGTTCAGTCTTTCTGCAAATGCAAGGTAAAGGTCATACACACCACATTCCTGCATGACAACTGATCAATCACGTCAATATGTTTAAAAATGTATTACAGGAGGTGTCCTCAGAAGCCCTCTATTTATACAGCATAATGTATTTTCTCTGCTGACATGATGTTTCGATCAGCGTCTCTCATAGCTGCTCTGAATTTGACTTTCTTTTACTGTAATGTGTGATGCAGAACCTCTGAACCTCATACATTACACAGCTGTCGAGAATGTCGTCATAATGTAACATTGCTGGTGCACGTTAGTTAGGTGCACTGCAATCATTTCAATCTTGTGTTCAGTTTGGGCATCTCAGCGTCCCTCACATGAGCTCTCATTTTGAAAGAGAGAGACCCTGAAACCAGCGGAACCAATGGAAACCACCATTTTTTTTTTTTTGCTGTAACAAGGTGTGTTGCAGCACCTTAGATCTAAACTCTTAAATTTGATTCTTTATTAAGACATTAAAATCCACCATCTGTCGGTCCATATGTATTAGTAGTAGGTGCATTTTCAGAGTAGTAATTCTATATGGGTAATGAAGTATCATGAGGCTTATTAATCTTGCAGCCTGATGTTTTCTTAATTGTGTCAATAAGACTTAGTAAAGCATGATTAGATGTCAAGGCAGTTTAGATAGAGTAAGACATCAATAGCACAAAGGCTATTTTATGCTCTACAAAAGGTTCATTGGCACTTATACAGAGGACAGAGGAGCCCTGCCTCTGGAAATGTTAAACGACTTTGACACCATGTTGTTGCCCAGCAGCTATAGGATTTTTATAGAACAAGCCATTCCACCAAATCCAAATCTCTTCAGCATTTCAAAAAGATAGGCTCATTCAACCCTTTCTAAAGCGCTTATGTGCATCCGCTGATAGCAGAGCCGTGTCAGACTTCCCTCTTTGGCGCTGAACAATATCCAGTCCATCTGGTCATTCCCTGTTAGGTAAAGAATTAGAGTCTGTACACAGTTGTTCTGCAACCTAGTGAGCTTTGTCTTGAGTTTTGGTCCAAAGCAACAGGAAACTTAACTTTGCTGCCTCCTAAGACAGCTTTATTTTGCCAAATTGTAAGGCAGCACTGTATGTATCCCTTGTAGTGAATGCAATCTTAGAATGTGTTGCAATGAGCTCAGTGAAAGAAGAAATCCAAGACAAAGGACAAAGCGAAATTATGCTAATCTGATGTTGCGTGACTTGAAATCCAATGAGCTTTTTGCATATGTATAACCATAGAAATCAGTCAATCTGTTTGCTCACCTGTTATAGTGCTGGTAGAGCATGGCGCTAGCAACATCAAGGTCATGGTTTTGATCCCCAGGGATCATACATAATGGCAAAAAGTGTGCAGTGATGCTTTGGACAAATGCATAAATGTAAAATGTCCATTTCAAATTAGATGTTGCCTATCTAGGCAAGAGACAGTAGCTGGGTTTTCATCCTAAATGTTTCGCATTTAGCCTTTCTGCGAATTCAAAAATACAAAACATCAGGCATTTCCATGTCAGGGGTCCTGAAATAGTGGACTGTGGTCTGGATCTTTATCAGGTAGGGATGCACCGAAATGAAAATTCTTGGCCGAAGCCGAACAAAATGAAACACTGGGCCGAATACCGA